GTGTCATGCGCCGGTCTCGCGACATTTATTGCTATGGCTACATGTCTAGCCGGTGCGTTGGCGAAAGGGAATAGTTCAACTGCCCCTGTCAGACTGGCAGTCGCAAGGGACGGTGGTAATAAGTCGAGTCCGCTTCTATATGGGGTTATGTTCGAGGTGAGAAAAGAGCTAACTCTATGCGCGAATGACTGTGTTGCTGACCCGTGATGTTGTTAGGAAATGGACCATTCTGGTATGGAACTCGAATTTGCTGCTCACGAGCATTACTAACTATCTCAAGGCGATGGTGGAATCCACGGGCAATTGCTGCGGAACAATGGATTTCAAGGAACTAGTCTTGGTTTGACTGCCTACGCTCCGGTGGGAGATGTGACAATCTCCCAGGATAGATCAAAGCCTGTCAGCAAAGCAATTACGTCTTCGCTCAAGGTCGAAGTGCCGGATGGGGTGAAAGACTATGTCGGATTTGCCAATTCTGGTTACAACGGAATTCAGGTTACGGGCGCCACATACAACTGTTCATTCTGGATGATGGGCAAATACTCGGGAACCATCAACCTGCGGCTTGTTGGGTCGCATAGTGGCTCGGTATATGCCGATCATAACTTGACCGTGAAGAGTACGCATTCGAAATTTACGGAATTCAAAACTAGGTTCAACACTACTTATGCACCAGAAGGGGATAATGAGTGGCATTTGACATTCGATGGATCGAAGGTTGCCAGTAGCTCGTTGAACTTTGGCTTAATCCAACTCTTCCCTCCCACTTTCAAAGAAAGAGAAAATGGGTTGCGAGATAACCTTGCATCGTTTCTGGATGAAGTTAATCCGGCGTTTCTCCGGTTCCCAGGCGGGAACAACCTCGAAGGCCTGGAAGTTGATTCTCGCTGGAAGTGGAACACCACGATTGGACCCGTAGTCGACCGTCCAGGAAGAGAAAGCGACTGGTTTTACCCCAATACAGATGCCCTCGGCCTGGATGAGTACCTGTGGTGGTGTGAAGACATGAACATGGCGCCACTCCTGGCTGTGTGGTCAGGCAAGTCCTATGGAGATATTCTCTCCGGGCCGGACCTCGAGCCTTTTGTCCACGACATCATGAATGAGATGGAGTATCTGTTTGGTGACTCCTCGACATATTATGGCAAACTGCGAGCTCAGAACGGCCGGAAAGATCCGTGGAAGGTTGACCTTATTGAAATTGGTAACGAAGATGACCTCACCCGTGGCTGTGACACCTATCCGGATCGTTTCAATCAAATCTACAAGGCCATCCACGACAAGTACCCGCACATCACTTTTGTTGCTTCCAACGGGGACTATTCGTGTTTGCCATCTCCGCTTCCCGAAAATGTTATCATTGATCTGCATCTTTACCGAGCACCAGATGACTTTGTGAAATTGTTCGACCAGTTTGACAACCAGCCGCGGAACCAATCAGTGATGATTGGTGAGTTCGGATGTCGCAATACTACAAAAGAGACAGGAACATACTGGCCATACATGCAGGGCAGCTGCAGTGAGGCCGTTTATATGATCGGAATAGAACGCAACAGTGATATTGTGAAAATGGTGGCTTATGCACCCTTGATGCAGCACTTCGACTTCGTCTCTTGGTCGGTAAGAATATTATCCAGAATACGTTGAAAGAACAGTGCAAATATAGCTGACCGCGCTGTTTTTGTTTATAGCCCACCCTATACGGTTTCAGTTCGGCTCCCGACTCTGTCACTCCTTCTGTTTCATATTTTGTGCAAAAGATGTTCGCATCCAACAAGGGTGACACCATTCTTCCAGTCCACTCATCAACAGGATTTGGACCTCTTTACTGGGTGGCTTCGAAGACAGGTTCACAATACTACTTGAAGCTGGCAAACTATGGCCCCGAACATCAGAATGTCCAAGTGAGTATACCAGGAACCCAAACTGGTAAACTTGAGATGCTTGCTGGCCCTAAGTACCAAGGCAACACGCCCTTCAACGTGCAAATTCAAACCGCCACTACCGGTGTCTTCAATGGACAGGGAAATTATTCAATAAGCATGGATCCTTGGGCTGTCGCTATCCTGGCAGTGGCATGAATGATCGTGCATGTTCCAACAATTGATGTTTCATGCGCATTGTTCATTGGTCCAAGCATGATAAACATGCCCAATATGTGTCTTATAGACTTCATGATAAAATTTCCGCATCTCACTAATAGGTAGACCCATGATATGTCCCGCAAGATGAATAAAGACTCAATCCAAAATCTCCGCCGGCACATCCACAACCTTATCCCGCACATAATCCGCAAACCCCTTACCAAACCCATCCAATCGACTTGAGCTGCTAACACCCCGACCAAGAATCCCATAAATCACAAAGTGAACGGCATGAATGTAGGGGAATTCCACCCTCTCAACTAAGAACGACTCATCCCAGTCATCATCATCAACGAGCATCTCTCGCAATCTTTCCACGCTCATATAAGACCGCAACCAAGGCCAATGAGTAGCGTCAGGGACAAAGATCCCAAAGTTGAGATTAGATCCTTTGTCACCAGATCGGGCAAGAGCAATGTCTCCCAATCGAATAGACCGAGTTGGAGATTGGAGGAGGGCGACTTCATCGCTGGATGGGGTGTGGCTGTAGCTTGCGCGTGGCTGCAGGGCTTTGTATGCTGGAGGATGACCTGTTGGGAACGAGATGATAGAATCGGGTGCGTCGATGAAGTGGATCTCCTCGTTGAGATCGTCCTGTTTGACTATAGCGGGATAGTAGGCTAGGAATGGACGTGGGACTGCTGTGCGCATGTCGAGAGAGGAGTGGAATCCTGAACGGTCAGTCAGCTTGGAGTATGGATATTACTATAACAGATATTGGTCCGCACCCGAGAAATGTTTGAGAGAAATTTCTTGCATTGCTCTTGCGACAGCGAGAACGGCATCGGCCTCAACTGCAGCAATAAATATCCGTAGGTATGTCGTGCTTTGTCGCTGTGAACGAGGGTTCGGGGCAGGAATACCGATTCTAGATATCCCGTCAGCACCGGTTCAAGCTGAAAGAGGAGAGAAAGGTACCTTTGGAATTCAAGTGTCTCGATCTTATCGATGGATTCCTTCGGAATGAAATGTCGGAGTTGTTTTTCGATCAGATCCCACTTCTTATCAGACCCATATCCAGTAGCATTCAGTAAAAGCTGGGCCTCGAAACCACCAGGATAAAACACAGCCAGCTTGGTTGTTGGAGGGGGTGCATAGCCTCGTACTCCATGAACACGAACCCTAGACGTGGTTTCAGTAAGCAGACCAACACGACGATGAATAAAAGAAGGATACTTACCTATCCTTTCCAACTTGTTCAACCACAATATCATCTAACACAGCACTAACATCACTATTCAGGTAAATATTTCCCTGAAGCTCATATAAAAGTTGACACCGAACAGTATCAACGTCAACAATACCACCGGTTCCAGGATGCTTCGCAACGACACAAGACCCATCGACATCAATCTCCGCAATGGGGAAGCCCGGCTTAACAAACATATCAATGGGGTGTCGATCAAACCCAGAGAAGTTACCGCCCGTAACATAGGCTGAGCACTCAGTAAGGTGACCCGCCACCAGGGACCCAGCCAGACGGTCATAGTCCGACTCCGACCAGGAGTGCCAGTACCACGCCGCCGCAATAACAGGACTAGCGTCTGCAACCCGGCCACAGATAATGATATCTGCCCCACGACGGAGGCCATCCACGATTCCCCGGGCACCGAGGTAGGCGTGTGCTGAAACCATAGGGACAGGCTTGGTGGTGTTGGTGAATGCATAGGTGAGAGGGCTAGGTTTGATGGAACTGTTTTCGGCGTCGAGGTGTGGGAGTTGTTCTGGGGATTGCGGCATGTTAGGGCCGAATTTGGTGTAGAGGTCGTCCCCAGATAGATAAGCTACTCGTAAAGCGAGGCCTTTTTGGTGGATCTGTTTGGACGATTTAGTATATAGATTTGTATAGTTGAGGACTTGTACTAACCAATTCGTGTACTTTCAGAGCCAGCCCTTTAGGGTTGAGAGCTCCTCCATTTAGTACGACTTTGATGCCTTTTTCGGCAATCACATCGATGGTCTGCTGGATACCCTCCCAGGCTGTCTGCTCATATCCGGGGTGTTCGCCACGTTGGAAGGACTGGGCATTATTTGCCATGTTGACCTCTTAGCTTAGTTAGTCCTTAGTATCTCTTTCGTTTATACCAAGCAACATACCCGCCAGGTAATCGCCCGTAATGAAGTCAACATCTCCTAGAGTCGCTTGCCGATACATTTCGTATGCAGGATCACCTTTGTACGTTAGTCCTGCTGGTTTAGTCTAAGTGTTCTCCATACCATGATAACCAGAGCAATTGGCAACTCTGACTGGTCGCCTATTTTCACTTGGACTGGCGACATTGTATGGTTGTTGTAACTAGTTCTTATTTTTCATAAGATATTGAGATAAAGTGTTGATTTAAACTAGATCCTTGTACGGAGTAAAGTATGACCGAATAGTAATTAATGGCTGAAGGCTTCTAATGTTATACATATTCCAAAGGTTATTTATTCTAAGTTCGGGGACCCCCCCTCGGTTAGAGAACAGCACCGAGGTACCGGAAAATCTTAGCATAAACTCCGTGGGCCGTGGGATTTATCTATAGCCCCCCACTGAGCGAACCAATCAAACGACACTGGTGGCCTTTCTTCGGGCTAATTTAAGCCTAGTTTTGATTGAGGCTGACTTTATGCGGAGTACGAACTGTGGAGATTATCCTGTGGGATGTTACTCTTTTTTTCCCGTGGCGTTTTCCAAAGCGCCCTGCTATGTGGGGACCATATCAATCCGTGCTCGATTGGGACAACTCCCAATTTATGGACCAGTAGGATGTTATCGCAAATGTTGGATGTTGGTAAGATTTGGATACTCTCGTACTCTCCAAGAAATTGTCGGTGTCGTTGATATCGTCAAAGCCTTGGACGATCCAACACCCTCTAAGCTTGCTCATCCTGGAGTCTATCTCTTGTGATCTTGACCCTGATCCCCTTGCTCTCCAGACTAGGTTGTCTAATAACAGAATCCATGACCACATCCATATCACGCTCCCTTTTAGTCTCAAATAGCTCCATATCGAAACGGGCACAGATATAGGCGACTGTGAGATACAACTCTGCGTTAGCAAGATTGATACAGAGACACACTCTGGTACCCGGGCCGAAACCCAAGAAGTAGTTTGCCCTTAATGAAGGGTCGTCAATCTACCGTTGTGGTTCGAATGTATATGGTTCTGGGAAGATTGTGGGATCAGTATAAAGGAGGTAATGCGATTGCATAACACTTGTCTGTTGTGTTGATTGGTTTGTTAGCAACGTGAGCCAAAGAAGTTTCCGGTTGTTTATCTTACGCCGGGTGGAATCGTCCAATCCTTGTATTTGAGCTCTTCCTCGGGGGCGTATCTTGGTATACGACTAGAAACAACGTGAGATAGCCTCACGCCTTCGGTGATCATAGTAGACTGGAGGACTTGGTTAATACATATGACGTTATGGGAATCATTCTGATGTCAGCAGCAACTCACGAAATAAGGAATGGCTTCTAGCTCAGTAAGTGAAATGCGGGAGTCAGGCCGGGGCATATGCTGTGCCAGTTCCTTCCTTACTCGATCTAAGACATACGGGGTGTCAAGAAGCAGGAATAAAATGACGGCTAAAGATCTCGCGGTCGTTTCAGTTCCCGCCATGACAAGCAAACCTGCCTCCGCTGAAAGGCGAGCAGGGGTTTTATCACTGGGCGGTAGGTTGCTCTGAAGGATATCCTGGAATATAGACTGGGATGCAGATTTTTCAAGCTGACTAGTCTTTTCTTCTTCGACTGCAGTCTGGATCATGTCCTTGAATAGGGCTCTGTTCCGTGGTACAAGCGTAGCAGCTGGACTGAGCTTCGTCACTAACTTAGGTAGAAGCAATATAATGACCGCTTTGGCTACCTATGGGAATTGACGAGTAAAAGGTCCTATCTGCGCCATCTTGGCGTAGCCCTCGAGCTCCTCCTCGGCCTAGTCGGGCTCACCCAACTTGTTCCAATCTTTTCCAAATGTATAAGCAGAGATTATATCTATGGTCAGAGTACCTGCGGCAAAGAGCAAGTTCACGGTTTCTCCGGTCTGACGGGCTTCTGCGATTCGATCTACCAAAATATCGATCTTGTCTACGACGCGGCCTTCCAGAGCTTGAATTGACCGCTTGCTGAAGAATGGGCTGAGCGTAGCGCGCCTCACCCGGTGGACGTCATGATCGACTGTATTGAATAATGACCATCCCATCGGACTAGTCTTGGAGGAATGGAAAAACCACTTACTGCGATTGCGCTTGCGGCGTCCGCTGGCGTAGATGTCGTCAAGATACTCCGGGTCTCGGATGTGGATGTGGAGTGGATTGATTCGTACGATTGGTCCGTACTGATTATGGAGGTCTTCGATTTTCCAGAGAAAGCGCAGTTTGTGAGGAAATAGATTGTAGTAGAACTCGTACCAGAAGGTCGCGCCTGTAAGCTTCGGGCCAGGAAATTTCGCGAGCGGATGTAGAGTGACTCGATATATGTAGACCGAGATCCAATACGCGATGAAAGCTGTCGTTCCGAATGCCAGGAGGTGTGATAGATTGGCACTTTGTACCAGAGTTAAAAGGCCTATCGTGGCTCCAGCTTTTCGTGTTCAATGGGTGCTAACAGAGGTGAGTTGGGCTTGTACCAAAGACAGATAAACAGGACGGTCCTTTTTTTCATGTATTATATCAGTACAGTGCGTATATTAAACTTGCAGTGCGCGTATTACGATGGTTCTGCATTTCTCGGTTGGGTGGTGATACCGGGACGACCAACCGGTATCAGTACCTGTCCCAGGTACCGGACGGACTGCCTACTTTGTGTGCAGTATCCCTTACTAAGTAGTCCGGCCCACATGTAACTAGGGCTCCAGGGCTAGTCCTTGTTTGGAATCACAATCCTCGCCTCTGCTCCAATTCTTCTACGATTCCTACTTATTTCTGCGGATAATAAACCGAGCTTTTTGGTTATTATTGTTCTCAATCTCGAAACGTCGCACGCGCAGCCAAAATGTCCATTGCAGCCTTGCCCGTGGAATTGATCTCAAAGATATATGACCATTTGGGTTATCAGGAATTGGTCGCTCTGAGGTTATCATGCCGCGCATTGTATAAAAGCTCACTGGAGAATTTTGCGAAGACCTTTTACCGAAAAATCTGTTTCATTGCGACAAACGAAAGTCTCCACGAACTGGAAGAATTATCTAAGTCAAATGGTCTCCGCGAGCACGTTCAAGAGCTATGGATGATCCCTGTGGTATTCGATGGCGCTGAAGGGCCCCTCGGTATGATATCTATATCGTCAAAAAGCTGCCGGCAAGTCAAAGGCGACGAGCTGGAAAGCCGGCGTGCGGTCCAAAAAGATATGATTGCGGATAATCGCAACCTGCTGGAATCAGAAGCATTCAGTGATCGACTTCGGGAATGTATGGATCGATTCAAGAACATCCAAACAATCGGACTTGCACATTATAGAACGGAATTTTTGCTTGATCCCCGGCAGCAGACAGTTCCGTTCCTCGGCAGGCGACAGATGATGAGCCAGATCGATTTTCGATTCGATGTTTATAGCCTGCAAGATTCTATGCGTACCAATAAGGCTAGTCAGATACGGAAACTGAACTCCTTGGCATTATCAAAGCTTTTTCTTGCGCTATGTGGCTCAAGCTGCAGACCCCGAAAGCTGTCTACCTGCGATTCTAAATTCTGTTATGATATCGGCCCTAGGATTGCCCTCTCCGAAGAGCAATTAGATTCTCTACTGTCTACTTTAGAAGACCTCGAGGATCTTCATTTATGCATTGATCTCAATGAGGCAGCTTGGCTGAAACTTTTCAGGAAGCTTGTACCTCAACTGGAAGTACTGACCTTGTCGCAAGATCATATGCCTTTTTATCTTATTCAAGATGACATGCATGCCTATCCGGCAAAAGGCTACGTTGGAAACATGTTCCATGACAGTAGCTTCACTCGACTCCGAAAGCTTCATATAAACAAGCTTGATATCAATTTCAGCTCTTTGAGATCACTATTGCTCAGTGTTAAGAAAAGGCTGGTCACTCTTACAGTCAAACGGGTTACAATAGGCAGCGAGGAGTCGGGAGCCACAGAAAACCCTCGATCGCAAGATGCTGAGTCCCCTGACCGCCAGGAAAATGAAAGATCTGTCCGATATACATCGCCATCATATCAACCTACAGTGCTACCATACCAACCAACCTTGCCATCATATGGACCTACAGTCCCGTCATTTCAACCGACACCGCCATCATTTTCAACATCGTCACCGTACACACCGACTGTGTCCCCGCAAGAATATGGACCAGCCCCCCTATCAGTCCTACCAGCATCAGAAACAGCATCGGCCGAAAGTGCACCCCAATCACCCCAGCTTTCCTCGACTTCCGATTCCTCTGAGGCGTCGACAGAAGAATATTGGAGCAGAAAGTGGATGTCTACATATCACCCATATGAGCCATCTGAAACAGCTGGAGGTTTTGTCTGTCCCACCCGGGAAACCGTAATGGCATGGGAACGCAACGAAGAAAAGATCACTTCTATGCCCAGCTTTTTGGACATTTTACGGAACGAGTTATCTCTAGAAACACTCTCTCTGGAAGATATTATCTGTGACGGCAATTATTATGATTTCGAAAGAATCGACACTACAGATAAACAAAGGGGCAAAGTGGATTTTGACATTCGCAAAGCCAATATTTCGTTAAAGGATTGGATTTCCCGGTTAAGGCCAATTGCTCGCTGTCCGGCCGATCGCATTATAAAGTATAAGGAAGACGAAGGTTAGTGGCACCTCCCTATTTACTCGCTGTGGTTACTAATGGAAGCTAGAAATGGAGGATTGGTTCGACAAGATGATAGGGAAGGACAGCGGCTCATTTACTAGATTAGACTGTGACTGCAAAAGGAAAAAGAAGCCGACCTGGGGATGTCCTTTTGGATGTTACCGATATTAGGAAAATGTCAGCTTGCATTTATCTCAATAATTCTGCGAATAATTTAGCTCTATCATTACAGTCTTAACACTGCATTCGATTCAATCAATATAAGGTAATAGAAGTTGCATGTCTTTCTCTTTACGGATTTTCTCCATTATATACCAAGAAAAAAGGTTCCAAGTTTACTATCAAGATACGTGAATGGGACAACAGTCACATGTAACGTTTCCAACCTTGGAACAACTGGAACACTTCGCTTGCTTGTTAGAATGAATAGGCACAGAGATGAATATGCTCTAAGATCAAAACTGGGCCCCGGGGATACCAAATAAGCAGAGATACTCACATGCGAAGAGGAGCCATAAGGATCTCTGCAACTTACCATTGATCCAATATGTGAAAGTATCTAGAGATAATCAGCAAGATTCACAAGTCAATATTTCAGAAAAAGAAACTGTACCAGCATTTATGACAGCCAGTGACTGGGTAGCATCAGTTTGAGCGTTGTCTTTTTTAGCAAGCGCAACGATAGGTCCCCAGCCATACGCTTTATCCACTAAAACAATTTATAGAACCATTCATTAGCAGACCGATATGTTGGAAGTCGCATCGTCAAGTACTTACTTGCACGATAAGCACCAAATTGGGTATGCCCGTGGGTGAACTCATGCGCGAGGAGTCGCTCTGGTGTGTTGTGTATCATATTATAAAGAAATTCACCGTTTTTCACAATTGCTGCTTTCTGTGCAGGTTGATACCAGACTTTCGTCTGAAATTGCAACACAGACCACACCCCAGCACAAAATGTAATCCAGCTAGGTTTACCCGGAGTGTGATCGGCTGTTAACGTGACTGCTTCCGCTTGTGCACCACCGTATCCAGCCTCAAAATCGTCTGGCATCGTACAAAGAGACGTACTGTGTTTTAGACTGCGAGGACCAGCTGGTAGGGCATTGATCATCCAAAATTCTACAAATATCATAGGTCAGATATGGTTTTATGATGATGAACGTTTGAATTAAGGGAGATTTCTGGATAATACTCACCATGCTTAATATGAGAAGGGACATTAGGGTCGAGGTAGGGCCTTGTCGAACGTGTCAAAATATTCACGAATAAGGTCTAGGATGACCGCCTTGGATGGTAAGGGTTGCGAGCATCTGCTTTGCAAATCATCTTGAAGAGTGCGAGGATACCAGTCGGCTAGTCTCCATCGAGTGCTGTTTCTCTGAGCGACATGGCGCCATACATTGTTACCCGTCTTGCTTTCAAGCCAGCCCACACCCTCAGGGGCAACAATTGAAAAATGAGAGGATGCACCTAGGCATAGTCGGTAGAATCAGCTCAGCCATTCGTGCGACCGTTGAGGAAGGATAGTTGGCGAGCCAATACTCACCAAAAAATCGCATTGAGCCTTTCGGAGTTTTAAGGGTATATGACCCTCCATCGCCATCGTCTCGATCGGCCTCGGCCTCGAAAGATGCTGGGGCGGTGTCATTTCTCGGAGATGGTAACTCTGAATCGGACGCTTCTGACCGTTGGATATGCTCTGGGCCTGTGTCCTCATCACTCAGCAGTCGCTGTCTCTTGGACGCATGTGCTTGATTTAATTCGTCTTGTAAAGACTGAATGCGCTGTTCAAGCTCATGAAAATGTTCCTCTCTGTGAGTAAGTCAATATGGTTAATTTAGAAGACTCAACAAGCCAAGCAGAACATACCGGTTGAGTTTTTTCTTCCGTCGCACGGTGTCCTCGTACTTACAAGGTAAGTCGAATGTTCTGCAGGGGACACAGACCGGCCGAGTTCCATCACATTTGACCTTCTTCCGTCTGCATATACTGCATGCCTTGTGTATGCAGGTCAGCATCCAATCACAGTCCTTCCCTCAATATATGTATGGGGGCCATAAGGGCCATCTGGGGGCTAGTCGATACCTTGGCAAGGCGTACAACGTTGCTGGTGTTTCCATCCATAATACAAAACGATTGTATAGTATCACCAAAGAAAAGGTTCAGACTTGCAACCCCTAATCGGCTGCAATCATCAGGATAAAGAATTGTAAACTGAGGTTCCCGCTGACTCCTGAGATTCAAGCGTTTAGGCGTTTAGGCATTCAGGCACTGATGCTGAGTCATTATAGATGCCTCAGGCCAGTGCGATGTATAACTAGTAAATCGGTTTCAACACTTCCCCTCGGAGTCACAGCCTGTGCCGCAGATGATTGCATGATTGGAATTTCTGATTAAATGCACTCACTGTGAAATATTCATCGGGGAGGATCAACGGCCTGCCGAAGAAGTGGCCTAGAACCATCTTGGCTTTCTGGAAGACTTAGACTTTCAAACTTTCTATATCGGTCTGCATAGCGAAATAACCTCTTTTTCGAGTCATGAATCTAGACCTCATTATTCTGGTCAACCCTTTTCTGATGCTGTTTGTAGATCTCGAAAAGCAGCTTCGAGCAATCAGTGCCACAGTAGGTAAACTAGAGAACTGGAGCAGAAGCCATGATATCACTGTGTTAGATCAGACCAGAGTGGTAATAACCCTTTACCACCCATTAGACCATCAATAATATGATATAAACATTTGATTCAATTGGGTGATCCTGTACACCTTGTACTCCCTAACATAGGTTCCGTCGATGTACTTTGATCTGCATCAGCAATATCTTGAGCTCGTCAAATTCCATAGTTCGAACCTCTTCCCCGAATTCTGTCATAGGACCAGCTATCCCAAAGAACTATTTGCTCAAACCCATGGCGATGCAACGGGGTGTTACTCTGTATAACAACCCAATCTAGCCACAGCAAATAGCCGCGAACCATAATCAAGTCTAAATGCATCGCCTATAGAATGATTGCTCACTGACCGCCATGACTATTGAATCTTGTCGCACGATTCAGCTGTGTCTTAGGTATCTGTTTGCGCTACCTTTGCTCTACCCCCGGTGAATGGTTATGACTCTGGTCATTGTCACACTATTATCTGCATGACGACTAGGCCTTCCTGGACCAAGGTTACTCTCCCTTTAGGAATCATGTCTATAAAAAAATGTAACTGTAAAACAGGACGTACTTCTATCGGTCAAGCCGAGACATGTATCAATCAATGGAAAATAATGGAGCCATGGCGAAGACCAGCCCACTGCACTGAACCTATTGGCTGATTTCGCGATGTTGCCGTTCACATTGTTTCAGCGCCTCATTGCAACTATGGTTGCAACAGCAGAATCTTAATGCAACCTATAGCTGGATTATATGCCCTTACCCGCTTATTTTGCAGGTACGGTACTTCCCAAGTCATATGAACTTGTCCGGCAAGGCAAAAGATCACTCCCGACATTCGACCTTTAGTACTTTGCGGCTCAGTAATCCCACATATAAAAGCAACAAGTAATCCCTTTCAAGTTTCCTTTATTCAATCACCAACACTCTTCAGTCTCATTGCTAGTCTCCAGACACATATAATCAACAAGTCCAAGCGTATCTCCAAAGCCCACAATGGTTGCCATCGGTGTCCGATCTCTCCTGTGCATTCTGGGAATTGCTTCCCTTGGCACATCTGCCGCCGTCAATACCAATACCGTCCAAGGCTGGCAGCTGACGCAATATTGTGAGTTAAGCTAAAATAGAGCTCCTCCATCTCAAGCTAGACTGACGTAAAATCAGGTACCGAGTTCTATACTGTCAGTAATGGAGAGACCTGCTGGGACATCATCGCGCGGAACCAGAATAGGTTCACCATGAGCCAGCTTCTGTGCTGGAACGACGACATTAACCCCTGGTGCTCGAATCTGATTCCAGGCCGACAGGTCTGTGTTGCAGTCGAGCGTCCCGGGCCTGTCTGCTAGACAATCGGGTTGACGTCTGGATTACTGCTATTGTAATTCAAAGAAACGAATGCATAATATCGCCGAGGGCTTTGATCCTATTGTTCGATGGAGGTAATGAGAGGATAATTTTCGAGTTCTGACTTCTGTTTGCACTTTGATTACAAATGATCATTCATGAAATCAAAGTTCTGAAGCTTGCTGGTATTGATAAGCTTATGCGCTATTTCTGTTCCAGGCATTGTGTAGGATTTGTCTCATCGTAGTTGGCTTCACCTCTGGGAACCGAGTATTGAGACGATCATCCGGTAGTCGAAAGACATTATTGACAGTGAGTCTGCTCACCAACGCAGTCACTTCTTTGAGTTCGTCCGATGAGTATTCTATTCCCTCTGGCTGCAGAGGGACGGTGACATCACCGGCCTTGATTTGCTCCAGGCTATCGTAAGTTACCTTGAATTTCCTGCCTGTTTCGGATATTATTATTAGGTTGCGGATGTATCTCAAATAAGGGCGTCCGATATGCTTACCGGTGAATTCTTCCGCCATTCCGAGAATCTGATTGTAGGTAATTTCATCTCCAACGATTACACTGAATTCAGGCCATTCATCAAGGTCAAGTGCCTTGACCAAGTAACTCGCCATGTCGTACGTGTATGTCATACAGATCACGTTGTTCCCGTCTCCTGGAATCGCAGCTGTGCCGCTGGATATATCAATACCAAAGGTGAAAGGGTGCAGGTGAGTTTGGATATGTGGCATTCCCCAATAGTCCATAAAAAAACCAGGGATTATCCTAGTATATTGTAAGCCGCTGGCTTTGAGACGATCTGCCGCATCAAGCCAGTATTGAATGCTAGGGTCAATCGGGAGTAATCTTAGAAGATTCAATATCAGCATGGAATAACATACAGCTGAAGCTGGCTGGCCTACTCGGTGGTTTGGACGAATGAGTATTCACTGGGAATGAATCTTTTCGTTGTTGCCGACTTCTCCGCAGCTTCGATCAAATTCAATTGAGACTGGCTTGTCTCATCAGAAACAAGACCAATGGCAGATATGATGGTGTGGATATTGTGTTTCTCAAGTATGAGTGCCATTGAGGGAATATCATCGTAGTTTATCTGGACATTTTGAATATTCTGCGAAGCGAAGTCCCGTTTCACCTAAGGAGGAGGTCAGTTACTTTCTCAGGTGGAAAGTGTCTCTGCTTGCGTACAGTGCGAGAGAGAACGACGATGTCGAAGTTGGAGTCCAGCAATTTTTCAACGATAGTTTTGCCCACTCCACCAGTTCCACCAGCCACAGCAATGACCGTCATGATTGAGAAGTGTTGTAGTTAAAATAGTTGAAGTTGCCACGGAAGGGCGATAACCCCACCAAGAATCTGCAGATTTTCAAACATTTACTTCTACTCCTATTATAGAGGCTACATTCGAACATTCGTAGAATAACCTGCTTCTGCTTATCTATTTCGAACTCCTAATCAGCATATTGCCAAACTCCAATCAAATCTCCAGAAACCACACATCGGGGATTCGGGCTTCAGACATCGGCGAACTCCCCCCGCGGTCCTGACGGCTATGACTAATATCGGAGGGAAAAGAATATAAAAGCCAAATCTTTCGACATTTCCACTTCAGCGATCTTCCCTCTAAAACCAATATACAAAACCAATCTCATCATGTGTATGAAGGCTACCTGCTCGACCTGCAGTGAGTTTCCACCCATCTCTGTGTCAACAGGCCAGTAGTTAATTATTACAGACAAGGTCACCTGGTGGGGCTGTGGAAGCCATATCCCTTCGGTGATGGACTCAATTCCCGAAGGCGAGTGGTGTTCCTGTACACCTCAGGTTGAGAAGGATGGGAAGAAGTACCCTCCCAAGGCGGCGAAGGCCGGCTGACTACAAGACTGTGTGATCTGCTAGTTGAGGAAGTGAGTGCCGCGATGTCTTCGAGAGAAAGCCTTTCAAAGGGCTTGGTTATCTACAAATCCTGGTGGATCTCCACAATATCCAAGGGGAGAGGTGTTGAGGGAGTTTTGTGCGAGATTTTATGTCTCAATTGGAGCAGATATATAACGAAAGTATAATGAAAGACGAAATCCAGAACAAAATCCAACAAAATGTCTGATATGAAAGTCAAGAAAGTGAGGAACCACGCAGAACCCAACCAATAAGAGAGCAAGTCAAAGGAAACAGCCGAGTCGATGTACAGATCCCAGAACACTCGACACTAAGGGCCCCCTCCCTTCCCCTTTCTTCTCCCTCTTCTCGCTGGTGTCTTCGCTGGTAGCGGAATTTGGGGTGGCTGCATTGTTGCCGGTCTCATGCGTTGCGTCTCTTGTAGTAAAAAGTAGGGTGGTTCTCCACCGTCCGGAGCTGGACGGGTGGTAGCCACAAATGGTGGTCCCCTTGGCACAAAGTCGCCCGGCATGGCTGGCAGCTGCCTTAGCTCCTTCTTGTGATTACAAACATAGAGAAGTCCCTGTCCATCTGGGCATGTAGCAGTGTAGAGCGCGAACCGCACAAAAGGCCCCGAAAGAAGCATTCCAAAGTGCTCCCCGGGCCTAGATTGGATGACACAGGCCTGTATTTTCATCCAATGGGTCAAAGGTTGGCCGTTGTTGTCGGTCAGACGGACGTCAACCTCCACAACCTTGTGACATGATGAAGAGCCAGGTGTTTCCATAATATTATAGCCATGAACTGGAACGGGGATACCTAGCGACTCCAGCTGGTCTATATAGCATTGAGGTATCGCCATAATATCGGCACCAGTATCATGGCACACGTATAGGGTGAGGCCATTAGCACCAGGAAGTTGACTATCAGCCGATACATGCACCGGGAACTATATGAAAGGCAAGAGATGAAAGTTAGGAAGAAGAAATAATAAGCCGAGAGACCAAATAGACACTATACCTGAATTGTGTGAACATTAGTATACGGTGCAAACGAGTGAAAACCTCCTAGACTGCCACCGCCTGGAGGTTGAAGCTGTATTTGATATCTCAAGTCAGAACCAAGAATAATGTTCTTATGTATGTAGTGATGATCAACTTACACCTTCCACCCACCACGCCTTAGTGGTGTCGTACTGCTCAGCCATGTTCTTATGAACATCGACGTCAAACTTATGGGGCGCATTGAGCTGCATGCCCTTCGACCAGTAGCTCACCCATCCTCTCGACCACCCCAATTTTCCTTCCCTGTAAGCTTTGCTGAGAGCCTTGACATTGGGAAGCTGATTATCCGGGTCCTCATTCGTGGTGAGATGTGTCTCGATAGCTTTCAAATGGCCCAGGCGTCGAACGATATCCAAGCTGAGTCCGGCCGGCTCAGAATGGACCATTTCATCGCGAGCAGCCCTTCTTTTCTCATATTGTGAAAGTCTGAACTTGAAGAAACCCGGCAAGATTCCCTCACTGATCCTCTCCATACATCTCTCAACTTGACTATCGATATCATTGACGTCAAGATCTAGTTCGTCCGCGTTCCAACCTTCCGGGACAAGCGCTGGATCGGTAATAGGTTTGGTCCCATCGTGTTTCCATCGCTGTTGTCTCGGAGGGCGTGAATACGCTTCATCTTGGACACTTTGAGACATCATGCTGTAGTCAATGTAGTCGTGGTCCTCTGGCACGACGGGCAATTGACTTTCAAGTTCGTCTGATGAAAAATCAGAGGCAGGGGAAGAAACCTCCCTTTTACCGTTGGTCGTTTTCCGCTTCTTCGTAGATTCCTCAGGGTCCAAAGGGGGCTTTGAGTACGCCCGCTTCGTACTACGACGAGGAGGCATCTTGAAAAAAAAAAAGGAGATGGACTTTGCGGCACTGCAGGAGAGGGCCTGGCAACTTGGGACGAAGAAGAAGCATTGAGATGTGGGATATAGAGAAGATATTTGTAGTAACCATCCTGTGGAATTGTATAAGACAAAGAAAACGACAAATTGGAATGATGGAGTAGAGGAAGGTAATCTCCGTGGGCTTGTGTGGATAGAGACAAACTGATCGAGGGGAAGGTGCTATTTTTGGATCTTTCAAGAAGCCCATGTGCTCGACAACAATGAATCCAACAGAGTAACTCTGGGACCTCGGGACTGTAGCTCATCAATCGAAGTGACTTGAGGTTGAAATGTGTTCGTTCCGAAATTCAGCCCCTGGTGTTGCTTCAAGGTTCTTTGTATCATCTTGATGTACCCCATACGTCCAAGATGGAAGGCTCGAATCAAAGAAAATGTCAAAAGGACGGGGCGTTTTTGTCAAAGCACAGCAGGGCAAAGAAGCAAAGCGCAATAGATGATCAGTGGTATAGTTCCAGTCTGATGTAGCGTAGCTCTTTCGAGCTTCTCGCTCGCCAACTCGACTGTGAAATGGCGCCTTGATCAGCATCCGAGAAAATGATACTTCAAGGAAGGATATCGTTAACAGCCTGTGAAATGGCTCGAGGAAAGTGTGATCGTTCAAACAAGCTAGAGAGACTTACAAACACCGGGCCAAGAGTGACAAATTCGGAATCCTACAGTATTCATTACTAAAAACAGAATGTATCACTCCTTTGACCCGATTCAAAGCATTTGAGATGTCAGTGGTGTGAAAGAACCAGTGACAAAGAAGCCGCCAGGTTTCATCTCAGAGAAGCCCACTTGTACGTTCGAAGGTACGATCCATGAGGAGGCTCGAATACTTCCTACAGTGCGTATATAAAACTCTACAAACACCTCATACACCAGAACTAAGAACTAATCCATAAGCCGTCAATTTCTAACCAGTATGCACCTTGATTCTTTCTCGATCATTTCCATACGTGAATATCATGTAGATCAATCACAAAAAAAGCGCAGAAACGGGGCAATTTTTCCGACCTAAAAAATAAGGAACGGTCGTACCAATACGAAGGGGATGAAAGGAGTAAAAAAGGAAAACATGAAGAGAGGGGGGAAAAAGAGAAAGAGCATGCCATTACATCAGAATCTAAGCCTTGATCGCTGCGCCCAATGCACCACCACCGAACTGCTGTCCACCAGGTCGGCGATCGCCCTGGGGAATTCGGGCACCGCCACGACCACCGCCACGACCGCGACCACCGCGGCCGCCACGGGCACCGGGACCGTGTTCGCGTTGGAAGGCGTTGGCCATACCCTGGGTGCGCTGCTCGAGAGTCTTCTCGTTAGACTCGAGAAGGTTGGTGGACTTGTCGGCCAGAGTGACAATCTGGGACTGGAGACGGGAGAGCTCGACGCCCTTGCGGAAGATGATGGCGTCGTTGACCTGGTCGAGAGCAGCGGCAAGCTCTTCGTGCGAGATCATGCGGGAGATGATGGAGATGATCTTCTTGGGCTCAAGTTCGAACATGGTGGCCAGAGAAGAGATGGAGAGGCTGTCGTAGTAGGGGGCGTAGGTGAAGAGGTAGGTGCGCAGACCCTCCTCTTGGGTCTGGCGGGACAGCATGGCCTTGATCAACTCGGGCTGGGGCATGAGGTCCCAAATCTTGATCGCGGCGAATGTAGAGGCAGAAAGTTTCCAGTCGCCAGCGGCAAGAGCCTTGGCTCCGGCAATAACACCGTCGCGGGTGTTCTCGGGGGGACCGGTGAAGACCTGGCGCTCATTGTAGTCCAACATACGGCGGAAGGTCTTGGAGATCATGCGGCGGCGCAGCTCGGGGGCAGATGAGGTTTGAGCCATCAGGGGCACCTCAAGCAAAGCACTGCTGGTGAGGTAAACGCACTCGAGCAACTCGAGGTTGATGTGCATGTGGAAGGGCAGCTGGCGCTGGCGTTCCAGACGCTCCTGCTCGGGCGAGACAGTGGAGTAACGCTGCATGATGATACCCTGGGCGAGAAGTTCCTTTTGGCGGCCGCTACCACAAATCTCACCAAGGGTGTTCTGGGCCTCGTAGATGAGTCCAGCACGGAAGGCACAGAGACCAATCTGAACAAGGGTGCGGTTGAAAAGGATCTGGGTGCTGACATCGAAAGTGGCGATGTTTTCAGTCAGGTGAGACATGAGCATCAAGTCACGAGACTTGTAGTAGTGGTCGTGCAGAGCAAGGAAGTAAATTTGGCAGAGCATGGCGCGAGCGCGGGGAATGCCATCACTGTGTTCGAACATGTAGTTGCAGATAGAGGCCACGAGGCTCTGGACATCCCCAGATTTATAGGTAGCAGTAACTGCTGACTCAATATTTGTGGGAACTGCCTTGTCTTTCGCTTGCTCGACAATCGCAATGACATTAGCAGGCTTGAAGTAAATGTGCTCCAACCGTCTGATAACCAGTCTGTTCATGCTGTCCTGGCCATTCTTATCGGCACCCTTGAGGCTTTCAACGTAAAGCTGCGAGCGAACAAGCGAGGAGTAAAGTGCCTGCTCGTCCGTCAGGCGCTCAATGTACTCTGAGGTGTGAGGGTCAATCTCGCGGAGACCCTTTGTGAGGCTGTCGTCGAGGTGCTCCACAAGTGATACAACGGAACCGGGAATGAAGAATGTTTCACCCTCAGCAACAGTAGGTTGCTTCTCGTCGTCCTCCCACTCGTCGGCGGCTTCGCTGACAAGGAATTGGCGGTTCTCTTCCAACACGGAAAGGAGAGCGGAGTATTCCTCGTTTGCGGCCTGCCATTGCTCACTTGACATGTAGGTGGCGGTGGATGTGGCAGTAAGATCGAAGCGGGTGGAGATCAGGGTCATGTAGGTGCGGATGCGCTGGTAAGGAGTAGTGGCAACCTCGAGGAGCTTCTGCATGGTGCGGATCTGGTCGGCACGGTCGGTGTTCTTCTTTCCGCGGGACTCAACAATGACACGGAGGTGCTTGAGGATGCTCTCAGGGGTGTACTGGAGGGTCTTTCCACCACGCCCGACAGTAGCGAATCCATCATCCTCACCACCTGCAGCAACGGCGGCAGCGAAGTTCTCGATCCTCTCGACCTTGGTAGGCTTGGGGGCAGGAGCAGGGGCGGGCTTCTCCTCAACCTCATCTGCCATGAAGGCTTCCTTACCAGCGCGGTACTTCTCGACGAGGGTGGCGTATTCCTTGTTGTTCTTCTTAATCTTCTGCTTGACCGCGTTGAAGCCCTTGCTGTTGCTAGCGTTCATCTTCTTATTCGAGGCCTTCTGTTTGGAAGCGGTCTCGTTGGTGAAGTCTTCGAGTTCGGAAACGGCCTGGATGTAGACCTTGGGGGTGGGACCGGTAACCTTCAACATCTGGCGGTTCAGGTTGTCGAACTCTGTTTGGGAATCATGTCAGTTCATGCAATTTCTTGGGGCCGTCCAATTTGGCTGGCTCTCCACTCCTCCCAGGCAGCGTATAGACTCACCAGTGGCGATAACAGCCCAATCGTTGATCTTCTCGGCGTTATCAATCAGGCGGATGGTGCTCTCAAGGCCCTCGAGACGCTTGTCCTTAGCGGACTTGACGATTGTAACCTTCTCCTCCTCCTCGCTCTCCTCGCTTTCGGAGTCATCGTGCAAGAACTTGGAGGCACCGGTGCGGCCCTCCTCGCCCTCTTCGTCGCTGTCGCTGCTGGAGCCGGAGTCGGTGTCATCCTGGTCAGAATCTTCCTCGCTGCCGGAGCCGGAACGGTAGACCTCCTCCTCCTCATCAGACGAGCTGTCGCTGTCGCTGCCGCTGCCGTAGAAGAAACGCGACGCCATGTTTGCGGATTGCGGTTTCGTTAAAAGGAAGTGGCGATCCTAAAGCTGGAAAATCAGGTCGTCGGCGATACAAAGTCGAAGTTCCCGCAGTTGAGAGCCACACACGAAATTTAAGCGAGGGGCTGACTAAACTAGATTAGGTATAGCGCATAACAAAGAAATAGTGACGGCCTTTTTTTATACTTCTTCTATTCCTCCAACTTGCTTCTGCTTGCTTGTTTTGACTCCATTCGACTATCTGCTGACTTTCAAAAGGGTACGAAGTATCCGAAAAAGAAGTCTAGGAAGCATCATCTGCTTGTACTTGGGAAACCGCCTCTCATCCGGGAATCAAGGCCTGACCGATCAGGCAGGCGCAGGCAAAGAAGTTTCTTGACTAGTGAATATGGGCAAAATGATGCACCCATCAACCCGTAACGATTGTCCCATTAATCGTCTGACTATTAAATCTACTATTTACTGCATGCAGCAAACAAAACAAGGAACCTCCTGAAAGAAATGACATGCCATGACATACGACCGAAAGACTTACCTCGACCAAAAGAAAGAAAAAGGATAGATCAGCATCCCTAGGAAGATTCAGATTAATTGAAACAGTTACGAGGAGAGAAGAAAAAAGAAATGGATGAGATCGTTCTTTCATGCTCCATCCAGGCTATGCTGAGAGAGGAAATTCACGAAAAAGGCAGACAGACATGCCGAAGCACTGCCTAAAGAAATCGGAGAAACGTAATTGGGATCGTAACAGAGCAAGAAACGCAACGAAACGTAATGAAACGCAATGAAATAGTGATGACGATGCGGGGAGTGATATCTCGCGGCGAATGATTTGGCCACTGATGGGCACAGCTCACGGCAAGTAAGCGTGCGGATCGATCTAGCGCTAGATAGCAATGCAGATCGTGTATCAGCGGTCCAGATCATTGTAGACCACGTTTACCCACTGAAGGGGTATTTTTCTTGACTCATACCTACAAGAGCCAGCCATATAAGAACGAATCGGCTGGCAAGGAATGGGTCAGCAGAGCAAGGCTTACAAACGCAGTGCCTTGGAGGTCATTGACACCCGTGAACAAAATATATCAGTATGCCTGCTCCCGAGTCGTAGAGAACGCTGGGCACGGGAATTGCCTTTTTGCCCCGATTCCCTAGTGCCATTGGTTCTGACCCATGTATCCTTCGCTAAGCACACCATCTTCAAGGGTGCGAATGAAATCCCGATTGCGTTGGTTCCCATTCGCATTACCCGCTCGGCTCCCACGGCGCCGCTGACTGGCGTTAGCATCGACGTACCCGTCAGGAGGAGGTGGATAATACGCAGGGCTGGGCTGCAATCGAATCGGCGCGTTGGGATCCAGGTGGCTAGCGACTCGTTGGATGGTAGTGGGAATTCCTCCGTTGGGGTCCATGGTGGATGCTCGTTGGCGGCCTGCTCGCGTGGTCGCCTGTGCGTATAGACTTTGAGGAGGTACCTGGTTGCCTGGCATCATTCCCATTTGATGACCGTAGCCAGGGGACTGCTGGGTAGGGTATGGAGGAGGCGGCGCCCCTTGTGGGTACATGCCATTGTACATGGGCGGGGCTTGAGGCTGGGGCTGGGGTTGGGGCTGAGGTGGAGTATGAAATTGGTTCATCTGCACGGCATAGGCATTTTGCGCATGCGCCGCCTGAGCTGCTCTTTGTTTGCTAGCAGCTTCGGCCTGCTGTTGCTGTTGAACCCCCGGTGCCGGTTTAGTGGCCGTCGAATACTTGAGGTTCATTGGGGGCATGAAAGGCCCCGTGAACTTCTGCTGGGTGATGAACGGGTGCAGCTTGGCTTGTTGGGGTGACCATCGCTCGAGAGGATTGATTGACAGGAGTCCCCGCACAAAGTCGATGAATGCAATCCGATTATTCAGTTCTGCGATGATTAGAAAGTCTCAGGGTGAAAGCGGAAAAGGGAAACTTACCTCGATCAACCTCTGCTTGCTTCATGTTCTTCCGAGGCATTGGGTAACTTCGGATAATTTCCTCCAGCGTTGAAGCTGAGAAATACTTCTTGCTCGGTTGTTCCTTCGTGTTGTGTTCTCGGGAATACTGCTCCAGGCTCTTGAGGCGGTACGTCTTTCTTCCGAACTCATCCTGTGTCTTTTCGAAAAACTCTCCCGACTGCTTGCCCATCTCTAGCATCCATGTTGGCGGGATACCCATCATTTCGACGATCCGACAAACTTGATTGTACTCCGAAGAGCCGGGGAACAGGGGGAGACCCAGGAAGAGCTCCACCACGATACACCCAAGGGACCACATGTCAATGGCAGATGAGTAGCTAGGAACAAATTAATAAGGGAAAAAACATGTGAGACTAGTGTACGTACGGCAAACCTAATAGTACCTCTGGGGATCGGTAAAATCGCGATTGAATGTAGGTGTAGACAGTCTGGCGTTCATCGCATGCAGAACCAAAGTCAATGACTTTGATGATCGGGCTCTCGAGGCTGTGAACAGTTAGAAACTGACCCTGAAAGCTCACAGGCGATACTGACTTTTTCAGGAGAATATTCTCCGGCTTCAAATCACAGTGAATCAGATGCGCTTTGTTCAACAAGCTCAAGGCATTCAGCAGTTGCTGGGCAAACACCCGGACAAGGGTAGTGCTCAATCCACGGAATTGGTTTTGTTTGATCAGCTCATAAAGATTCACACTCAGTAGTTCGAATGCGAGACACAAATGCTGACGGTGGATGAATGTATCCTTGAGGCGAAGCAGGTGGTGGTCGTCGTTCTTGTCATATTTGCTGTTGAGCTGCGGGTAATCAGCGGAGATCCGAACGATAAGGGTTGGGAGGATATGACATACGAGATCCAACACAGAAACTTCCATCATACTCTGGTTGAAGTAGGCAGTCTTGTTCTTGATGACTTTGACAGCCACAACTTCTCCCGATTTCAAGTTTTGGCATTTCACGACTTGGCCGAAGGTACCTTGACCTAGAACGTCGAGAATGAGGTATCGATTTCTAAATCGGAAGGAGAAACAACTGTCAGCCCAGGGTTCGGCTATCACCGGGAAATCGGGGGCATACTTGTGACCGGCTTCCTCGCTTCCAAGGATATCGTTGACATAAAGGATATAATCACTATCCTCGTTGTCATACCCATCATTCTTGACCCCTTTGCTGGGTTTGGTCAATACCCGTCGCGGGTTTCTGGAAGACTCATAGTTAAAGCCAGGGTTGCATATGCGGTACGTGGCCGGGAGGTGGGTTGTCAACGATTGAAGTGGCTGAACGGGTTAGCCAACGCGACGACAAAGTGAGGTTTGCAGAGCACTCACACTGATAAATCCACCCTCTGGATTGGCGCGCCGATATGCGGGCTGTATATTCATGCGCGGCTTCAGTTCTTGGACAGACTGAATCTTTTGGAACTTGGGAACGGGACCGCGACCGGGCACTAGAGGGGCCTGAGATGGCAGCGAGCCAGATCGCGGAGATCGCGCCCCTGGACCAAAACCTGGACTCATGTGGGAAGATGCGGATGGTGGGTAGTATTGGTCTGGGCTGAGGTCGCCGGATTGAAGGGGAGGGAGTCTTGGGGGCCGGTTGGCTGTCGAGATATTAGCGAACGGGACATGGCCGAACAAGAGACCGAGATCGAACTCACATGGCGGCGATTGATATCCTTGTGGTGGTGATGCATATTCTGGTCTCGCGGGAGACCGACGGGAAGCATTCTGAGGCGCGGATGGAAATCCATAGGAGCCTTGGGACTTGCCAGGACTAGTGGGATATGACATCGGCGGCGAAAGAACATTCCCCGGGGAGTATCTGCGGGCAGCCGATGATTCTTCTGCTTGATTCAAGAATTGTGACGAGGCGCGATTGTGGTTTGGCCTCGAGGGGTACTTTGCCCGGTTGTACGGGTCAGCGTCCTCCATGGTAGTATCCGCATCGGTGACATAATCCCGAGTACGTGGCGTGGCAGTGGGGGAGGACGCCATGGAGACAGTTTTGGAATTTGAGCCAGCCGAGGGGGCTTTAGATGTCGTGACGGGGGTCTGGAATGTTTCGTACGTGTATCCGACGGGCGGCTGTGACTGTGGTGGCTGACCGTATTTCGAGGCTAATTGCTGGGGATGAGATGCCAACGCAGTATTGAACTGCGCAGGGTGGCTCATCAAAGGATCTTGATAAGGCTGCCACCCAGGATCCATTTTGTGCAAGCCCTCTTTTTGGGCCAACAAATGGATTCGGGGTCCGTGTTCTCAAGCACTGCGATCAGGGTCCGTGGGATGCCAGCGGGGACGGCACTCGTAATGCGATAGCACGTTCGAGACGAGTCTTGACGGAATTCGACGAATAGAGGATGAAAAGTAGGGAATTGGCGTTAAAATGAGGTCGTGCTATGCTTCATCATCTGAGGAATTGTTGGTGAAGACAAGTTTTGAAAGGGAGAGAGGGGGGCGGTCGCAATTTGGTTGCGACGCAGTAGACGTAGGCGGCTGGGGGGGTTAGCCAAGTCAATGGACTTGTCTTGGGCCCCCGTGAAAAGGGGAAATCTCTGTAAAGACACAGCTAGCATCAACAGAAACTATCTTAAACAATGGCTTTCATCGAAGCATAGAGATATTACTGATATATAGCCAGAGATCAAGAAGAGCGGGAAAGATGAGTTCCAACGAAGTGGAGGTGAACTTTGCCCGCCAGATCTGAGTCTACATAGTATATCATTTCTTTCCTCTGTACGGGGTATATTGAAGGGGTATTCTATCTTTTGGCATACAATGTGCACATATATATTCAAGACCATGATGCTAAAGTCTCGACATTTGAACGGAGTACTGGATCGTGGTCTCCTTGGCGATTACTATTTTCACATGATCGACGCTCCATTTGAATGCCCAACTGTCAGAGCGTCTCTTTTGAGTTATTAACTGGCTGTAATCTCATCAGGCTGAACGGATTTACCACTAATATAGAATGACCCGAATAACGGGGTATCTTCTTGATGGTATCATATAGTTGGAGAGGCATGGGACATCATTTCATAGTTAAGCCGGGAGCCCACAGCTTGGGATTGATGATCTTATTGGAGTAATGGCATGGTATTCTGAATATAGAGATAATTAATCAAGAAAAGTACTCTTAGGCATGGTGATTTTCGGCCATTGCGGATTATCTGGCAAATATGTAGTACACTCCTAAGATCGAATCTCTTTTCTTGGTTCGATGTCCTATTCTCGTACTTTGAGGAGAGCAACCGTCTTGCTTTCAAATCGCCAGATATGAACAATCTTGTGAGGCTAGTGCTCGTGCCCTGAAGTGTTATCCCAACGTGTTAGGCCTGATGATGCGCTCGCTCTAGGCTTTCATCACCTCGAATGCTGTATGCCATCAAGGACTTTTTCATCCGATATTTCTCAAGTAGCCCGCAAGTCACACTGTGACGTCCGCGAACATATTTGTACATTTCAAGGTTCGAGAGTTCCACGGGTAAGAAGAACGAAGCTGTTGGACTGACCAAGGCGTGAAATCGAGGTGAGAAAAGAAGTGGTAACTACCGGTCCAGACCCCGGGGGCCTCAAATGAGAATTACCTAAGCTTTCAATGAGTCATTCACTCACGTGAGCGGTAGTTATCATAGGCGGTGGCTGATTGTGCCATTGCTCTGATGGATCTAGATTGTGTTATTCATCTAGACTTATTGCTACCTGTGCTATTGTACTATTGTGTTTGCTCTTTGAGCAATCACCATGTTATCCCTTACTCTAGACAAAGTCTTTTAGTCTCTCACTTCTTTTCACTTAATACAATCTTTATTTGGACAACTTTCACAATGTCCACGAACGAGGAGGCGAGTCGTCTGCGTGATCTCCAAGCAGACGTCCGCGACCAGGATGACCTCGAAAGAGATATCACTCGCCAGGTATGACCCAGGCAGGTCTCAATTGACTATCACTCTGGCTCACATTTTCCTATTTTTTAGGCCGATAAAGCTCTGGCAGATAAAGCGGAGGAGAATGACATCAAGCGACTTGAGAAAGCCCTCGTGGATCGGGAGTAAGAGTGCATGACTTGATATTTGATAGCGTGACTAACTTAATCCGCAGACGGGTCGATTCGCAGGTCCGCCAAGCCCAGCAACGCCTGACACAGCCCGTCGGAGCCGCTACTCGCCATCGAGTTGAGAATGAGCTGAAAAGGCTGCAGATGCGCAAGGCCGATCTAGGAAAAGACTTGAAGGACATCCAACAGCGCATTGACGAGAGGCGTGAGTCGCAGGGCAATTCGACGGTGGCGCACGGGTCTGGGCGACAGCCGAATGAGTCCCGCCGCGAGTATCTCCTGAGGACTGGAAAGATCACTCCCTTCGCATTGATGCAGGAGGGCTCCAGAGATGGGCCACTTGGTAATCTTCACGATGCACTTGTCGATGCCGAGGACCAACAGCATGAGGAGGAGGAGGAGGAGCGCGAACAAGCCAAACATCACCCAGCCGTGTCCCACCGGGACCTTGCACTCCCAGACTTAGACTTTGACGAGAGCAGCGAAAGCAAGAGCAAGCGGAAGAAGGTGGATCGTCGTAGCTCCCCGGGAGCAGATTCGTCGGCAAGTTATGTTGCCTCTGATGCTGACGCTACATCCGAGGGTGAAGAGTTCATGCCTGATACTCTTCCTGAGACCAAGCCAAGTCGCAAGCGCAAGCAAGGAAAAGCGACCACTGAGCTGGAAGATTTGAGTGGGGTTGATGATGGAAATGAGGCAATATACCAGTCTCGCGTCCAGGAATGGATCAGTCGGCGAAGCTCTGCCCGGCGGCACGCTGACAGCCATTATGTCGACGCTGACCTGAATGAAGAAGAGGAGTGGCTTAAGCCACATCCCACCGAACCGGCCATGGAGCTTGACAATGGACTGCGTGTCCCTGGAGACATCAGCCGCTTCCTCTTTCCCTATCAGAAAACTGGAGTCCAGTGGCTTTGGGAGTTGCACCAACAGACTGTTGGTGGAATTATCGGAGACGAAATGGGGTTGGGAAAAACCATCCAGGCGATTTCTTATCTTGCGGCACTGCATCATAGCAATAAACTCACCAAACCTGCCATCGTTGTTTGCCCTGCAACTCTTATGAAACAATGGGTTAATGAGTTTCACCGCTGGTGGCCACCCTTCCGTGTCTCCATCCTACACTCATCGGGCAGCGGGATGATAAATCTTGGTAAGGAAAGCAGTCGGGAAAATGCGCTTTCATCAGAAATGATGAGCAGCCGCAGCTCTCGGCACCTATCTGCCGGTCAGAAAGCGGCTAAAAAGATCATTAAGCGTGTCACGGAGGAGGGCCATGTCCTCGTGACTACATACTCAGGTCTGCAGTCTTATGCAGATGCTCTTGTTGACGTTGAATGGGGCTGCGCCATCCTTGACGAAGGTCATAAAATCCGCAATCCAGATGCCGGTATCACCTTCAGCTGCAAGGAACTCCGGACTCCACATCGCATCATTCTTTCGGGGACCCCGATGCAGAATAGTCTGGTAGATCTTTGGTCCCTATTTGACTTTGTGTTTCCAATGCGCCTAGGAAACCTTGTTACATTCAAAAACCAGTTTGAGATCCCCATCCGTCAGGGTGGCTATGCATCTGCATCAAACCTTCAAGTGCAGACTGCTGCGAAATGTGCAGAAACTCTCAAAGATGCCATCAGTCCTTATCTGCTCCAGCGGTTCAAGGCTGATGTGACATCTGATCTGCCGATGAAAAGCGAACAGGTCATTTTCTGCAAATTGACCCAACTTCAGCGAACCATATACAAGAGGTTCCTGGGCTCGGATGACATGAAGTCTATCATACGAGGGAAAAGAAACTCTTTGTTTGGCATTGACATACTGCGCAAGATAAGCAACCATCCAGACTTGGCAGACCACACATTGCGCTCTCGCGACGCGGATTACGGTGATGCAGAGCGGTCTGGCAAGATGAAGGTTTTGAAGGGTTTGCTTGAGGTCTGGAGAGATACTGGTCACAAGACCCTGGTTTTTACCCAGGGCCGTCTGATGCTAGACATCATTGAGAAATTCCTTGGAGCGCTCGGTGGATTTAATTACCTCCGAATGGACGGAACTACTCCGATCAAGGAGCGCCAGAATCTGGTTGACACATTCAACAACGACCCTAATATCCACGTATTCTTACTCACCACCCGTGTCGGCGGGATCGGAGTGAATTTGACAGGTGCTGACCGTGTCATTATTTACGATCCCGACTGGAACCCATCGACTGACTTGCAGGCGCGAGAGCGCGCATGGCGTCTGGGCCAAAAGCGTGATGTCACCATTTTCCGCTTGATGACCAAGGGCACTATCGAAGAGAAGATCTACCACCGCCAAATATTCAAACAATTTTTGACCAATAAAATCACCCGTGATCCTCATCAAAGAGAAGGTTTCCAGCTGAGTGATCTGTATGATCTGTTCACTCTTACGGATGAAAATGATGACGAGTTAGAAACGACCAAACTCTTCAAGAACGCTGAAGTCACATACCAGGAAGAGGCTAAAGAAGCCCATGACAGCAAGAGTAAGCCTGCGCCGACTCTCAAGGAGGAGGACGGTATTACCGACATTAATGGTATTGCCAATGTGGAAGAGTTCCAGAACGCCGCCGAAGAGGACAAAAATGCCAAAACTTCCGAAGATCGCATAATGCATGGCATATTCGCTCGTTCTGGCGTTCATTCTGCCGTCCAACACGACCAGATCATAAACGGCAAACGAGTCCTTCGCGCAGACCCTAAGATGATCGAAGCCGAAGCTCGCCGCGTCGCCAACGAAGCCGCCGAAGAGCTCCGCAAGGCCGAAGAAACTGCCCGGGCACTCCCCATTGGACTTCCTACCTGGACAGGCCGTTTTGGGATGGGAGGCCGCGAAGATCCACGGACTGGTGGTAGCTCGGCTCGCCCTGCTGGGGCAGGACCCTCATCCTCAGACCTGTTGGCTAGGCTCAATCCTGCTGCTGCCGCGGCTGCTGGACAGAGAATAAGTGGTTCTGACAGTCCATCAGCACGTATGCCACGCGGCAAAGAGTTCATGCCCTTGATCCGTGACTACCTTGCCTCTCAGCGTGGGCCAACTCTGTCGCAGTCGATTGTTCACCATTTCAATCATTACTGCTCCAATCCGCAGCGTGTTGCTGAGTTCCAGGAGTCATTGAAGAAGG